ATCCCGTGCCCACTCACGCACCATATCTGGGGAGAAGTCATCAGCCCTTTCATAGGCATCATTTGCCATATCCATGATTCTCGCCAAAGGCTCGATGGCATCTAATAGTTTGTCCTGAGCTCCCTTGAAGCCACGTTCCACACCCTTGCGTGGGTCCCGACCCCCGCGGGACATGAATGTGGTCATAAGCGGGTCGAATTCGGGGGTGTGTGCTACCTTATCTGGTAGGCTAGGGCGAGGACATTCAGATCTCATACGCTTTTTCACTTCTTTGTCCAGCGACTTCCGGAGCCAGAAGTGCATGAATCTGGTCAAGTGTTCGGGTGGTGTCCATTCTTCCTAACGGGGATGGTGAATGTTCCTAGGATCGAACATTCGGAGGCCAGAGTTGTCCAAAAATATTTCTGAACCCTCTTGTGGGGTGTCTAGGGTTGTGGCCCCAGAGTCCTGGGGCTCACCCAGGGTCTGTTCCCCTATAAAGTAAGGGTCAGACTTGGCAGCGGAGTAGTCAGATTCCTCCTGGTCGGAGGCAGCCGCCTGCCATTCGTCAGCCACGGCTAAAGCGTGTGATGGACCTGCGTCCTCTTCCCCAGAGGAAACCTGAGCGGGTTTTTGGGACGATTTGCTTGTGTCTCGTCTGCTTTTAGCAGGGGCCTTTCCTTTGGATTTACGTGGTCCCATAGCCTCGCCTTTCCAATGGCGCTTAGGGGTGTGGGAGCGTTCCTTGGAGGAATCGGAGTCTTCTGAATCCACCCCATAATGAGCCCGTTTGGGAATGGGCTTAGATGTGTCCTGTTCCAATTGGAACGACTTAGCCAAAGCCTTTTCCATGGACGCAGCTACCGCTGCTGCAATCATGGCCTGGAGATCTGAGTGATTTTGGGATTCTTCCATGTTGTTAATCACACACGGGGCTCACCCGGTGAATATGCGTGAGGGCACTTGTGGTACTTGTGGCACAAAATGGGGAGGCCTGGGGACCAGGGGTGTGGTGTAAAATAGGTAATGGTTAACCTGAAAGTGCTATGCGACTGGTAGGTCAAGCGAGGGCTGTCACTGGGGCTCACCCAGGAATTTGGAATCCTGCATAGACAGGTCCTTTCAGCAGCACATGAAAGGGGGCTCACCCCTGCCAGAATAAGGGTATTCCCACTGGCTGAAACCGACCCCAAGTGCAAAGCACTAACCTGATACTGGTCCCACAGTGAGCTGATAAGGCTGCAGAGTTCAGGAGAGTATTCCAGAGTATCTGGCAGTGATAATAGGCTGGAGTAGTAAGCAGGATAGTAGTAGCCGTTTAAAATGGCCGCCGGACTGAAAGCAGTAAGAAATGGGAGGTTTAGTACCTTCCCTAGATGTTTGGGCGGCAAAAATTACCCGAACGGCGGGCGTTCATGCGTACGAATCAGCAGAACGCGAATGCGAGCGCCTAATATGAGACGTTCGCGGGAATTGCCGAACGCTAGGCATTCGTCAAAGGGAACAAGTCAATGCGAACGGAAAGTGCCGTTCGCGAAAAACGTGCGAATGACGATAAGGCGGGAAAGAAACCCGCAAATTTATCTGACAATGGGAAGTATAGGTGAAAACGGCGAGAATGCCGTTAAGACTCCCTGAAAGGGGTAGGCTAAATAAAAGCAGTGGAAAAGGTCCCAGAGCCAGAGGGGTGGGGAGGGGGGGAAGCCCCCAAAGGTAACAACACAGAAAGCACTTAAAGTAACATAATGAATAAATGTAATAGTAATAGTAAATAGTTAGACAATAGTTCTTAGAAATAGATGACAAATAGTGTAAGGACAGAGAGGAAAAAAACAAGTCTTGTGATGGAGCAGCAAAGAAAGAGGAAATGATGTCATACGTTACACCTCTTATACTCTATACTGCATTGTGATTGGTTCTCAGTTATGTCACTCTTTTCTTTGCTGCTATGGAGTTAGTAAAGAAAGATTATGCAAAATATGAAGCCTCCTGTCATGTGATAAAATTAGAGATGGATAGAAGGAAGTGTGTAATCTCTCCAGTAGGCTCCAACCTGTGGGTGTGTAGGGACCTGTTTTTTAATGTTAAACAGATCAATTGGTTAAACACTGAATGAAGGGACAGTGCCAGGAGAACTCAATGTACTATAACCAGTTCAATGAGGTGAAATTGTTATAGTGCCCCTTTATGACATTTTAATTAAATGTAATGTCAACTCTATTTTAAATATATCACTATCCTCCAATTATCATTAACCTGACTCTCTGAAAATGGTCGTTATCAAAAGGCCATCTCGATCTCCCCAATTAAATTCTGCGTATTCTTTATTTCCCCCCCTATTTTTTGCAATCTTTATTCACAAACCACTAGTTACATTTATGTTCCCCTACTAAGTTATTTCCATGTTATCAGGTGGTGACAGGAGATGCTGTAAGTAGAAGAGATGTTGGACAGGGGGGTGACAGATACAAAACTATTCTGGTGGCTATTTTGGTGGCTGGCTGCTCAAACATTCTGCATTTGCTGATACTGACAAAATATATTTAAATTTAACATATTAAAAAAACTAAAAAATATAAAGACAACCTGTTACCCCTTTCAAACTGCTACCACAGGCCTAGGTCATGTTGGACATACACTGGTCAGCCACAACATTAAAACCACCGACAAGTGAAGTGGATAACATTGATTATACTGTTACCGTGGCACCTATCAAGGGTTGGGATATATTAGGCAGCAAGTGAACAGTCAGTTCTTGAATTTCATGCTTTAGTAGCAGGAAGACTTGGCATGTGTGGCGAAACCAACCTCGCCACTGGGAATTGGAGAAGCCTGTTTGCCCACCTCCTGCCTGCTGACTATGGCCCCTGGGAGATTTTGCCCTTTAAATACAGTATTTGGGCATATTGTATTTTATTATGCTGCTGCTGGCCCTTTAAGAACCATCTTGGGACATACTGTGACTTTTGGGAACAATGCCCCTTTAAGACTGTGTCCCCTGTCCCCCTAATATACTTTGTTTGTGCCCTAAATGGGGCTTACTGAACCAAATACCACACAGGCGGACCATTCAGAAGTGGAAATGTGCAGGCAATTTACTTCCCAGGCTGGGAGCCTGCTGTAGGTAAATTGCCGACCGCTGGGTGTCTGCCGTTCGCACAAATGAACACGTGGCGGCGCCATCTTTTTTCATTCAAATGCGGTCAGTGGTGTGTGGAGCCAAATTCATGGAACTGAAATCGGCAACACAGTTCCACGAACACTGCTGACCCTTACCTTCTCCTACACTGAATTTTCAGCTGCAGGGACTAAGTCCCGTTCGGTGATTCAAAAGCACGTTCGAATGGGACTTAGTAATTTTTTCAGTGTGAAATTGACCGACCACACAGCCCAAATCTATGGAACTGTTTTGGGCATGAAAATGTCATAAAAAGACTTCCAGCTACCTTTTTAACCCCTGGATGGAATTGGCTGAATTTTGACTATGTTTATAATTAAAGTGTGTTGAATAATAATATGCCATTTATGAAGATTGAATCCATATTTTTAAAGTTACAGTACATGTGTAAAAACTGTATTTCTTTGCCTGTGATAATTACATTAACCCATTGTATAAGGTAATTGTATCACAGGCAGATGGGAGGATTTTGTGTGGGAGTGTTTGTGGGTATTGTATGTATTGATTTGTTGTTCTGCAAAACCCTGTGGGCGGTACTATGTTTGTAAAATTGGCATGAAAGCAGAGTGTTTGATTAAAAGCCTCAGTTCTACTTCACCCTCAATTTGGAGTCCTGTCTCTTATTGGGGGAATCTGCTACAAGGGATTGCTATGCTCTGCATATTCCCTTGCTATAATCACTCCTAAGTGCTTCTAAGAGCTTGTTCCTGTCGTGCTCTCTGAAGGAGTCTACGGTGGTTATGGTGTCGGCTGGAGTGCTTGGAGACCTCAGGAAGTGCTAGGAGCATCCTTCAACGGAGGTACCCAGTCGGGGTGCCAGGTGATCCGTTACAGCAGGTAAAAAGTTCTGAGTGACTTTGACAAGGGACACATAGTGATAGTTAGATGACTTGAAGACAGCCACTTGAGGCGGAGTAAACCCTGCATGTCTATGGCTGGATGTGCTCCTCCACAATAGGCACATTCATGCCGGAATCTGCAGGAGCTGTACCACCTGGACTGGCTCTCATTAAAGAGCCAACACATGTCTTTCTTGTGACCTGCCCGGGAAAGCGGGGCGGCTTAGTGGGGGTTATGATTAACAGCCACAAGCTGTCGTCGAAATCCATTCCAGGGCACACTACCATTTTTGGCAAAACTGCTGGTCGTAGCAAAACCAGCATTGCTCCCCATAGACCTTATATGCACCCCAAAATAAATCTAAATACCCAAACAGCGACGCTGCCTTTTCGGGAAACCGGTGCACCAGGATGCTAGCAAAAACATTAAACTTCTGAAGCCACTTCCCAAATGTTCTAGGGATATGCTTACCCTTCTCCACATCTTTGTCCAGAGGAATCAGCGAAGGAAATTCAATGTACTCACCTCTTCAAATTGTCTTCTGGACATCCTGAAGCACATGGAGACGCAAAGGGGCCAGGTCACAGCCTACCATACGAGGGCGAAACGCCCCTGAGTACTGACACCCACTCCACTGCCTGACAGACTCGTCTATGTACCTCCAACTCCCCTGCCCAGCAGGTTTATGCACCCGCCCCGTGGGACCCGTGGAAAACCTATTCACTAAGGCCCTGAGCAAGCACAACCACTCATCTGACTGAGCCTGACCCCCAACAGACCCCCAGGCACTAGCGCAATGTAACTCACTGAACCGCTGGGGAACTGCAGGCACCTTACTGCCTGGAAGCTCCTGTTCCTCCTCCTCCGATCCAGACTCCATCCAGAACCAACCTCCTCTGCCCACCTGAAGACTGGCATCTGCACTGCCATCCAGCCTCTCTTCCTGATCCTAAGCTCCATCTCCTGTTTCTTCTGTGTGTGTCCGTCCTGGTCGTTGTCCCAGTCTCCCTCCTCCGACCTGCCGACATTCTCCTGCGTCCAGTGCCCTGCCGCACTTCCAGCGCATCCAGGGTGCCAAAGGTGCACATCACTTTCGGCGTCTGTCAGACCGGAAGAGACGTCGGGCTCCGAGACCTTCCCGCCATGCCGCCATCTTGTCCTCTTACCCCGACTCCAGCAATAGGCCTCTGGCTCCTTCTCGCCTCCCGAATAGGCCCTGGGGAACAAATGCCGCTGCCTCTCCTCTCTGCCGTCCGCCTCTTCTCACGGGGCTGGAAGATAAGCGCGTAGGAGGCAGCGATTGCCTGGCCCTATTACCGCCATCTGACACTCCTTCCATTGCCGTAGGCACTGAAGCCACTCTACACTGGCCAGCACATCCTCCAACGAACCAGAGCCATGTGAATCAAGGTACACCTACAACAAGGCTACCACTGCCTCTCTGGACACCGCCGCCATCTTGGCCCGATACCCTCTCTTTTAGTCACCTAGGGAGATTCCTAAATCCTAGCCTTTATGGATATTTCTTTTGTTTATTTATTTATTTGTAATGTTCACCAGGATACCAATTCCTCACTTATTTTTAGGGGGGGGGGGGAAGGGCAGGGTTTGCAATTGGTGATATTTTTGTTGTATTGCTTATTGTTTTCACTGATGAATGAATGTATGATAGTTAACTGTGCTATGTAAGTAATGTCAAAAAAGCACAGTTAAATTGAAATATTATGTATACTAAATGATATTGTATATAGTGCAATACTTTATTATACTGTTTATTGTGCTCACTGATTGTTGAATTTATGATAGTTAACTGTGCTATATAAGTTAAAATATCATCGCTAAACCATACAGTATACTGTATACTATATAATCTAAACACTAGTGTGAGGGAATATGAATGTATATCCAAAAGAAAAAAAGATAATTTACAGGAGGAATTTATAAAAAGATGATGGCAGTTCTGAAGGGTACAGCTGTGGATGTTACAAGTTGTGGATGTAATCTCAGCAACAGAATGGCTCTTGACTACAGAATACAGAGCAATAAATTAAGGCTGTGTATTGGAAGCTTTTGACTTTTGAGACATCTGACATTCAATTCAAAAGAAATAGAAATCCCATCACCTTCAATAAATTAACACCCTGAAAACCGAATTCATTCTTACCAATTAATTGAAGCCCACATATATACAGTATTCCCATACATGCCTGGCAGGCTTTCATTCTGGCAAGCTTTAGGTACAAGGCGCAGTTCTTCCGTGGGAAATGATGTGTCACTTTGGATGAAGATTATTCAATTTAATGGTGTCTCCCCATCATTTATATATGATACGAGCTGTTTGAATCGCCGCCAGCTAAACATAAAGGATGTTTGAAGAGAATATAAGCAAATCGGACTGACATTCTATGTCCATCAAGCAATACGTAAGCAAGTATGTAAGATCATTCTGAAAATAAATGTTACTACTGTCTAACTAGTGCTTCCATAATTACTTATATTAAAAATGATATGAATGAATGAAATATTGATGATGTCATCAAGAAATAGATTTTTTTTAAACTATTTAAAAGGACTCTCTAGGCACCAAAACCACTGGTGCTTTCTGCAGTGGCTCTGATGCAAAGAGACTTTTCTTCTGTCCCTGTAGGCTGAGCAGCAAACTCTGCCTTTTTTGACATGATCAGAAAATGTCAATTATCAGACCAGGCAACTTTCTTCCACTGCTCCATGGTCCAGTTCTGATACTCATATGCCCATTGAAGGCGCTTTTGGCAATGGACCATGATCGGTCTGCGGCTATGCATCTCCATACGCAGCAAACTGCAATGGACAGCAGGCAGAGATGGCAGCCTTCCCCGTGTGCTACTCACTTGGGGGGTGCCTGGGGCAGACTGTGAGGGAGCCTGGCGACTTGCTCGATATGCCACCGGGTCCGATGCCCCTTCTGTGCCCATCACAGACACCGGTGTACAGAGCTGCAGACCATGTGTCTCGTGCAGTGGCGTCTCTATGATTCATTTTTAGGGGGGGCACATGGAGGGCCAGGGACAAAAGTAGGGTGGCACATTTAACCCCGCCCTCACCACACTTGGACACCGCCCCTGTCACATGTTAAGCCCCGCCCCTGACACAGTGTGTGTGTTTTTTTTTTAATAATCCCTGGTGGAGAATTCATTATTTTCCACCAGGGATTATTAAAAAAACAAACACAGTAACCTTGATACAGTGCCATAGTTGACAACATTTGAAAAAAAATTTCCAAGGACATTTTGCAGCACAGCTATTTTGCAGCTCCCTGTATAGTGCTGCTCTCTGTATAATACAGGTCTGTTTGTGTATAATATCCCAAGACAGAGAGCAGCACTATACAGGGAGCACTGACTGTCCTGGGATATTATACAGGCACAGGCCTGTATTATACAGAGAGCAGCACTATACAGGAAGCACTGACTATCCCGGGATATTATATACACACAGACCTGTATTATATAGATAGCTGAGCATATACCCCATGTCCCAATCTCTAGACTACTAGTAGCTGTCAACAGCAGCTCCCAGACGCGTGTAACAGGGCTAAAGTGTGCGGCAGCTCACACAGATGATTCAGCGGTAAAGTGCACTCGCTGGCAGAGCCAAACTGGGAATCCCTGGGAATCCAAAGCAGCCCTGAAAAAAAATGTATGCCATTCCTACAAGTCAAAATATATATATATATATATATATATATATATAGTACAGTAAGCACACAAGCTCACTGACATGCGCAAATAGGCTTACTGACAGACAAAACTCTCTGACTCACACACAAGCTTACTACAGACACTCACTTGTATAAACAGAAGGCTCACTACAAAGAAGTTCAGGGACACACACAAGCTCACTAAAGACAAGCTCACTGACACACACATGCTCACTAAATAGAAGCTCACTGACACACACAAGCAGTACCATTTTAACAGAGTTAAGGGCCCATGGGAAATGCACTGGGGCCCTTCCTACACAACAACTCACAGGAATTTTAATTATTGATAGACTGCGGAGTCCATACACACACACACAGACTGCTGAGTCCATACACACACACACACACAGACTGCTGAGTCCATACACACACACTTACAGACTGCCGAGTTCATACACACTTACAGACTGCCGAGTCCATACACACTCACAGACTGCTGATTAAATACATACACACACACACACTGCTGAGTACATACACACACACGCAGACTGCTGAGTCCATACACACACAGACTGCTGAGCAGTGGTGGATCCAGAGCCTGATCTAGGGAGGGGCACTTGTAGATTATCTAAATAAATAATCCAGACACAATAACCACTACAGCTCAGTGTAGTGGTTATGGTGTCAATAGTGCCGGGATCCCCTCCCAGAGTAAGTAGTCAAACCGTTTAAGTACAGTTTGACAACTTACCTGAGGTCTGCTGGGAAATGGGGCTGTAGTTGGGCATAGGAGCAGTGGTGTGTGTGAGTGGTGCAATGTGTAAGGGGTGCAGTGTGTGTGTGTGTGTGTGTGTGTGTGTGTGAGGGGGACAGTGTGTGAGCAGTATGTGTGTTTGAAGGTTGTAGTGTGTGAGTGAGGGCGGCAGTGTATGTCAGGGATGCAGTGTATGTTTGGGACAGTATGTGTGTGTAACAGTTGCAGTGTGTATGTGTGAGTGTGGGCAATGTGTGTGTATGGGGCGGCAGTGTATGGGGGCAGTGTGTGTGTATGGGGATAGTGTATGGGGGAGCAGTATGTGTGTATGGGGGAGCAGTGTGTGTGTATTGGGGAGCAGTGTTTGCGTTTATGAGGAGCAGTGTGTGTGTGTATGGGGAGCAGTGTGTGTGTGTATAGGGGGGCAGTGTGTGTGGCTGGGGGGCAGTGTGTGTGTATGGGGGCAGTGTGTGTATGGGGGCAGTGTGTGTATGGGGCAGTGTGTGTGTGTATGGGGGAGCAGTGTGTGTGTGTGTATAGGTATTATGTGTGTGTATAGGGAGCAGTATGTGTGTATGGGGGGAGCAGTGTGTGTGTGTATGAGGAGCAGTGTGTGTGTGTATGAGGAGCAGTGTGTGTGTGTGTGGGGCAGTGTGTGTGTATGGGAGCAGTGTGTGTATGGGGGGGCAGTGTGTGTATGGGGCAGTGTGTGTGTATAGGGGGCAGTGTGTGTGTATGGGGGGCAGTGTGTGTGTGTGTGTGTATGGGGGAGCAGTATGTGTGTATGGGGGAGCAGTATGTGTGTGTATGGGGGAGCAGTGTGTGTGTGTATGAGGGCAGTGTGTGTGTATGAGGAGCAGTGTGTGTGTGTGTGTATGGGGCAGTGTGTGTATGGGGAGCAGTGTGTGTGTATGGGGGCAGTGTGTGTGACAGGGCAGTGTGTGTGTGTATGGGGGCAGTGTGTGTATGGGGAGCAGTGTGTGTGTGTGTGGGGAGCAGTGTGTGTGTGTATGGGGGTAGTGTGTGTATGGGGAGCAGTGTGTGTGTGTATGGGGAGCAGTGTGTGTGTGTGTATGGGGGCAGTGTGTGTGTGTATGGGGGCAGTGTGTGTATGGGGCAGTGTGTGTGTGTATACCGGGGGCAGTATGTGTATATGGGGCAGTGTGTGTATGTATGGGGGCAGTATGTGTGTATAGGGGGGGCAGTGTGTGTGTGTGTATGGGGCAGTGTGTGTATAGGGGCAATGTGTGTGTATGGGGGCAGTATGGGGGGCAGTGTGTGTGTATGGGGAGCAGTATGGGGGCAGTGTGTGTGTATGGGGGCAGTGTGTGTGTATGGGGGGAAGTATGGGGAGCAGTGTGTGTGTATGGGGGCAGTATGGGGGGCAGTATGTGTGTATGGGGGCAGTGTTTGTGTATGGGTGGCAGTGTGTGTGTATGGGGGGCAATGTGTGTGTGTGTGGAGTGTGTAAGTCCATACACCCCCCCTCTCCCCCCCAAGCCTACCTGTCACTGGAGGCTGTTGCTGGGGGTCAGGCAGCCATCTTCTGCAGCAGCATGGTCTGCTGCTTTACGGCAGGGGCAGGGCCTATGTGCGGTAGGCGGGGCTTCATTTGGGGGCGGGGTCTCTGCCGGGGAGCCTGTTAGTGCTCCCTCCAGCCACAGACAGCCCCCAGCACCTCAGTCCTGCATTCCCTTGGGCTGTCACAGACTGTTACAGCCCTAGGGAAAATAATGGAAGAACATGGCCAGCAAGTAGCTGGCATTTACAATACAAACACACACACTGCATTCACTATACAAACACACTACATACACTATACAAACACACACAGACACACACTTATTCATGTGTGTCTGTGGTATATGTATGTCTGTGTATCTGTATGTGTGTTGGTATATGTATATGTGTATCTGTATGTGTCAGTGTGTGTATGTGTATCTGATTGTGTGTCTTTGTTTGTATCAGTCT